ACCTGAACAGAACGCACCTTCAGCAGACGTCCACACCGACCTGCCGCTCCTCCAGTCGCCTCCTCCCGCACTAAAGGAAGCGCTGCCACGAGGAAGACTGCGGTCCAGCAGGCCTTCATCGAGCCGCAGGCTGCGTCTCGACATGACCCTCGCCCGAAGGAAGGAGGCGACCTGCTGCTCCTTCTCAGAGTCCGACGAGGAGTAGGTGGAGCTGAGGAGACAGGCGTGGAAGATGAGCAGGAAGAGGAAGAGGCGTGGTCCTTTATGGAAACAAAGTCTGAAAATGTTACAATTTAAATAACCTGATCGAATAAAGCTGCAAAACCATTTTAACAGGATATAGTAAGAAATATATTTTTACATCATGGATAAAAGAATTAGATGCAAAGTAAGCTTTTAAAATGTCAGAGGACACGATGAGAAAACACCGAAACTTGCCAGGAACGTTTTTTTCAAACATAAAGAGGAAAGAAATCTGATTAAAAGTCTACAATTAAAAAAAACAAACTTCTGTAAAATTATACAGAAGTTTGTTTACGTCAGTGATGATGTATGAATCTCATCAATAATCCACACACACACAGAAGACGACAGATGGAACAACACTTCCCAAATATGATTCTAACAGGTTTCTCCAGCAGGTTGTAATTTTACAATCAGAGTCTCACTAAGTCAGCCATAAAATGCAGTTTAACAAAATTAAAAACGTTAAAGTTCCCAGCATGTACGGAGGAATGTTATTAGTATTCCGAGCTGCATTTCCTGTGATATGGAGGCAGATGGATGGAGGTCTGTGGTCGTGTTGAGCAGACGAACAGCGAGCTGCAGACACTCGTTTCCTTCATTAAACTCTGAATTAAAAGCAGCTTCAGCTTAATGATTAAACTCAAGTCCTGAAACACTTGTTAACCTGCAGACACGCTGCAGCAACTCAGCAGAAACACAGAGACTTCTTCTTCCTGAAATACTGAAGGAAGACACACACACACACACACACACACACACACACACACACACACACACAATCCCTGCAACCTTATCAGACACCTGACCTACATACAACAGCGCAGAGAAAGAAGCCGAGCATACACACAGGTCAGTCCAGCCCCAGCTCTGCAGGTCCTCGTCACTCATGGTGGCCGGCAGAGCCGCCAACAACACTGCCACAAACACACAAATCACACCAACTCTAACACACACACACACACACAGATCCAGCCAGCAGCTGAAGTTCACCTTTAACCTGCTTACACTTCCTGTCTGTGGGTCAGTCAGCTGCTCACACACACACCTCTATCTCTGTGAGGACGCTGATATTTTTATTGAATTAAATAAAGTCAGATATTTCCCGCCACATGTTCGCACGCTCGGGTGTTCACAGGTGTTCAGCCTGCTGTTCCTCTTCCCCCCCAAATAACCAGGATGTTACTTCAAAACTAAGAAAAATTCTTTATGTGGTCAAACTGGGTGCTGGAGTCCAGAAGTCAGCCAATCAGAAGAGAGTGGGTTTAGAAAGGAGGACATTATTTCACCGTAGAGCCCCACCCACCTACCACTCAAACCTTCTGTTTGAGAGGAGCTGCCAATTAGAAGAAAGCTGTCTCAAAACAACGTGTGTCAGAGAATGAAATGAGGAGCTGCACAGAGAGACACGAGAGACGAGGATCAGCTATTACCTCCAGCTGCCACCTCAGACTCAGTTACCCAGCAGCCCTCACCTTCAGATAAACGCCGACTTCCTGCTGAGCTGTCAGGTGGCGCTGCAACGCTCCCCCTTCACCTGCTGAGAGCGCCCTCACCTGAGAGGCTGATGGGAAAATAAGATCGTGTGTTTTAGGTGATTATCAACGGCACAGCGGGGTGAAACACGTAAACACACAAACCAACATTTTATTCTTGTGTCTTTATTGTTCCTTACATCACCATCGTTACTCTACTTACATATAATCGGGTATATTCTACACCCGCGTGCGCGTGTCCGCTCTGTTTGTTTGCAATTGAGCCCACGTGTACAGTCTTTTAACTGCAAGCTGTCAGCTTCCAACCAATCCGCGGTCAGCTCACGTAAATGATGTTGTGCGTGGCCAATAAAATCCCACGGTGGGCGGACTCCCGCGAAAAACGAACCGTGGCTCTGCTAACGTCAGCGTTAGCGCTCACAGAAAATAACAGTAGAAAAATAAAAGTTAATCAGGACGGTACAGAGAGGAAAAACGCTGTGCTCACCCGCAGCGCGGGGCAGATAGGGAAAGACGTCGGCCACAAGCTGCCACTAGCTGTTAGCAGCTAGCGAGCGTCAGATAGAGCTGGCGGAGACAGTTAAATGGTGTTCCCGTTATAAACCCGCCGGTTAGCAGCGTAGCGATGAAAGCAGACTCCGTGAGCTCCTCTCAGGGACTCACATTCACACTAACAACAGGCAGGAGACTTAACACTAGCGGTTTACAGTGGGGGCATTTTATAGCGCCAGCAGTGATTTACGCCCCCCTGTGGCCGGAGGTGCGACACGCTCTATGAAAAGATTATATATTGATTTGAGATCGTTCACTCCGAGCTCAATGTATAGAGACATTTTCATTAAAATGTTGTTTTATTGCAGTGAATGAACGTTTGAAAACAGAAAAAATTTTTTCCAAAGAACATCACATTAACAGATGATATCGCCTGTTATCATTTGTTAACGGAACTACTTTAAAATAACTTTGAGGATATTCAACTTTTTTCAGAAACATCCGAGTTCGACCCTGTACCTGCTGTCACATTCACGGTGTTAAAGTGGTGGCGGGAACGTGAAATATGGCCTGAATCTCAGTTAACGAGGTCAGTCCGTGCTGGAGTAATCTGAGTACTCCCTGCGTCTGCTCCGACCGTTTTGGGGGGGGGGGGGGGTGCCTCTTGGCCGCGTGGACTTTAACTGGCGGGGATTTCCTTATATGGTCACGGGAGCGGACTCCGCCTCCTCCTCGCGGACTCGGGAAGTTTTCCAGCTCCGTGTACAGGAGCGGGACTCGGACCAGGATGTCTCCCAAGAAATGCATCTTCGGCTGCGAGGGGAAGCTGAACCTGTTCGCGCTGCCCAAAGAGGAGCGGATCCGGCAGCAGTGGATCCAGTACCTGTTCTCAGACCAGCGGCCGCCCAAAGCCACCGTGTACGTCTGCTCGCGCCACTTCTCCGAGGACTCGTTCGTCAACAAAGCCCAGTATGACGCCGGCTTCTCAGCCAGGCTGTTGTTGAAGGACGGGGCGCTGCCGTTCATCCACGGGGACGTAGAGGAGTCCAAAGCGGCGGCGGTGAGTTTCAGTCTAGCTCGGGGATCTCCGCGGCGAGTAGCTGCCGAGTCCCGGATCACCGGGAAACGGACGGTAGAAACGGTTTAAATCCACCAGCGGGATCAAAAAACAACAAAAATGGCTAACCGGGCTAACGGTCTCAGTTAACGTGTAAAAAAACAACAACCCTAAAACAAAATAAAGACCGAATTTATCAGAAAAACACTGAAAAAGCCTGAAAATAACGACATAAACGGCTAAACCGTCACCGCCTGTGGAGGTTCAAACATGCCAAAAACTAATAATAAGAATAAGACCGTTACTCCGTAAATAAGGTTGTATTATTAAAGAGTCGTTAAAAACCAATAAATATTATTATTATTATTATTATTATTATTATTATTATTATTATTATTATGCTATGATTTTATTGGCCATATTTGTCAATACTCTGATAACTGGTGTAAACCAAACCTATAAGTGTCATTACATCCTTTCATAAAAGCGACACCTTATAAGTGTTAGTAAATCAGCGCTAGCTTAGCTTTACTTTTTTCTTTTTAAGAACCAGAATTAATTTTAAAAATACTCCCAACACCTGATCTGATCAGCAGTTAGAATATGGAGCACCAAAACGGCCAAAATAACAGAAATGACTCAATATTTTTTCCAAAAACCTTTTAATTATTTTAATATTTAGAGTTGGTAAGTAAGTAAAAGTTTATTTATACAGCTCTTTTCACAGACATGTCACCAACTGCTTCACAAGAAAGGTAACAAAACGTAGTACAGTGATGGTATCATAATATTGTGCATAATTATTGCTGGACATCAGTACAGTGCTGTTAGAGCCTGACCAATACTTTCACTGTATCGATAATTTGGCTGTTTATCGATACAGCACTATCAGCATTTATGACACACCTGCAGGGTGAAGCGTTCTGAGCATTCGTCTGTCAGCTGCTTCAGAAACACCTCGGTTGGGTCTGAGTGACATCATCAGGTACGAAAATCTCCTCAGCCTGCTGAACACGGACGTGGTAAAGAAGAGCAGGTAAAGCCGTTGCGAGCCTCGGTATGAGCAGTGAAAGGATCGGAGAAGAGGAAAAATGATGGAAGAGCAAAAGGTGGATGTCCTGCTCTCTGCTGATGTTTTAAACATGCTGGGGAATGATGGAAGTCCTCGCTATTTGTTTGAAATGAATCTGCTGCACCTGCTTTTGTTTGCAGAGGTTAAACCTGTCAGGTGAAGGTGAGCGTGCAGCGGCTCGTCTGCTGTCCGTTACCTGGCAGGAATCATGTCCGCAGTTACACATTTGAAATCTGTGATGAAGCGATTAATGTAAAAATAAACGGTTGAAAATAATGATAATATTAATATATTTTTTGTTTACATTACTTTAATGTATTCTGCTTTAGCTTGAGGGAAACATTCTAATGATAAGAAACAGAAACATTAACTGTTTTAAAGATTTTCAGCTCCTCGTGGCGCCTCCTCTGAACCGTTAGCCACAAAGTTCATAAATGTGGACGACAGCCAAAACTGTTTAATGCACCGTCATCAACGTGGCCGGCGTGGACCAGTGTCTCTGATTTTTCCGCTTTGAGTCCTTTATATTTTTAAAATTAAAGTCTACAGTTTTAATCGAATATTAAATGAATAATTATGGAGTCATTTACTTATTTTGGCACCTTGGGTCCTCCGTAGTACATTACATATCATTTGGCCTCTCTCCCGTCAGCAGAGTCCGGCGCTGCTGCCCCTCACTCGCTTCAGAAACACCGCCTGTCAGACCGACCCTGAACCCAAGGTCTCCGTGGCGACGCAGTTCTGTCACTACATGGTGTCGGTGGGCACGCAGACGTCCTACTCCCCATCTACGAGGTGCGCCGCCACTCAGCTGTCCTACAACACGCTGAAGCAGCACGTCAGAAGCAAAGGTGGGTATGAGTGCCACACACTGTAAGTAAAAGATGGCTACATACTAACTGCTGGCCCCTGCTGGTTGGTGGAGGAACTGCAGGCTCTGGACTGAAATAGTTTGTGGTGGTGATGAAGAAGCTTTGTTCAGTTTTAAAGAGTGTAAAACGTGTTTTGTGCGTTTCAGCCACACAGGCCTCGGTGTTGCACTGTAACGTGGGAACGGTGACCACCCAATCAGAGACGGGGATTCAGCCGGGTGTCAGACCAGCGAAGAGACCGCGTCTGGAAATGAAGGAAGAGGAGGGGGAGGAGCCAGAGGAGGAAGCAGCGCTCCCTGAAGCATCCGACCAGTACGACCCCATCTGCGAGCCGTATGAGCCGGACGAGTCTTCGAGCGAGCCGCCCGACAGTCGGTAAGGTGCCGGCGCCCCCTGCAGGTTTCTGTCTGTCTGTGCAGCAAACGTCTGACCCGCTGTTCTCCACCCACACAGCGAGGCGGAGGCCACGCCCTCCCACTACAACGACCCCAAATACGTCGTGTTTGAGAGCTGCCTCAGAGACCTCTTCCTCACCTGCCCCGTGTGTGGGTTGAGCTGCGAGGTGCGGCGGCGGCGGATGGGCACCTTCGTCTCCTTCAGCCAGCTGTGCCCCAGCTGTGACTACAGCAGGAAGTGGGAGAGCCAGCCGGTGGCGGGAAGCACGCCGCTAGGAAACCTGCAGATGTCTGCGGCCATTTATTTCACCGGAGGCTCATTCAGTCACGTGGAGAAGGTAACCTCGACCTTTGACCCGAGCACACGTGACGGTAAAACTCTGACGTCGCTGTCCGAGTGCGCGCGTGCAGACGTCCTCCATGACGGCGCGTGTCTGCTGTGCGTCACCTGCAGGTGTGCAGAGCCATGAACCTCCAGGTGTTCCAGGCCGACACCTTCAGGCGGCACGCCCGCACGTTCCTCGAGCCCGCCATCAACCACAAGTGGAAGCGGGACCAACAGGTGCTGATGGAGCGCCTGAGGGCTGAGGGCAGCGTGGCGGTGGGAGGGCGGATGAGGGCGGACCTGCTGGGTGAGCAAACGCCATCATTAGTGTCTTGTTTTTGTCACCTTGTGGTTACTTTGGCCTGATGATGTCATTTCCTCTGACAGGACACTGCGGGAAGCTGGGCAGCTACACGCTGATGCACCTGAGCAGCAGCAGCGTCATCGACATCCAGCTCGTTCAGGTAACGCTCGCTCTGTGCCAACAGGAAGTGAGAGCCGATCACGTGACTGTTTATGGTTATCCTCTCAGAGCGCCGGGGTCAGCGGCAGCTCGCACGTGGAGACGGAGGCTCTGCGGCGAGGCCTCGATCTCCTCCAGGTCAACCGCCTGAGCGTGGACCACATCGTGACCGACCGCCACACGCGCGTGCAGAAATACCTGAGGAAGCGAAACGTCCGCCATTACTATAACATCCAGCACTTGGAGAAGGGTCGGTACGGCGTGGTCACGTGACGATACGCCGCCAGACGCACGCTAACGTGTTTTTCTCCGCAGGTTTGTCCAGGAAGCTGAAGAAGCTGGCGAAGAGTAAAGAGTGCCTGCTGGTGCGGCGATGGCTGCCCAGCATCAGGAACCACGTCTACTGGAGCGCCACGACCTCCACGTCCGCGCCCGAGAAGGTGGCGAAGTGGAAATCCCTCGTGAACCACATCCAGAACGTCCACACTCACGACGACCCGCTGTTCCCGACGTGCGCGCATCCGAACCGCGTGTCCGTGGATCCCAGCAAGTGGTTCCAGCCAGGTGAGCGTCGGCCAATCAGAGCCAGTCACACCTGTGCACGTGGACCTGCTCGGGGCGGGCCTCTGCCTCAGGTGGAGAGTCGAAGTACGGATAAAATGTATGGTTATTAAACTGTCCAGTCATTGGCTGACAGTTTATCGCAGGTGAAGCTGCTCACCTGGCTAACCAGCCTGTGACATCACAGCGGCGGCGTCCACAGTAACGCGGGCAGTCAGACTCTGATGTAGCGTGACTCTCAGCGCCAGAGACGCAGAGAGAAGACGAATAAATTAACCCTCTGTAAACAGTGACCTTTGACCTCTTGCACGTAATGATGTCATAAACCTCTGGTCAAGTCATGTGACTGCTGGCCTTTCAGCAGGGTGTGACGCCCACACTCGGCGCTCGGATGAGTCATCCCTGCTGACATCACAGAGAGGACGCCGCTGATATAGTCAGCTTAGACACAAGCTCCACCCACTCGCTGTTAGGAGCCTCGGCTGAGGGGGAGGGGCGTTAAAAGGACAATTAACAAACTGTTTAATATTTTGATTTATTATGATGGGCGTGGCTTAACTCTTTGCTGCTTTGCTATTGGCTGACTGTTTACCTGTGGGTGTGTCTGTGCTCACCTGTGTGGCTGCAGATTCGGTGGCTCTGCACAAGCTGAAGAAGCTCCTGCTCAACAAGCGAATCCTCGCCGATGTCGGGAAACTGAGTCACGACCACCAGGCGTCCACGCTGGACCGCTTCCACTGGCTTGCGCGCCGCTTCGCGCCGAAGAACGTCGCTTTCCCGTTCATCGGCGTGCTCTGCAGGTAAACGCTGCTGCTTCAGCTCTGATGTCACAGCTTCAAACACCTGTGTGACAGCGGCTCTCGTTTCCAGGCTGTACCTGGCCGCCATGCATTTCAACGAGGACGCAGAGAGACACAAAGAGAGGAGTTCAGAGGTCACCGCCGAGCCTCAGCAGAGCGAGCCCAAACCCAGTGAGTGCAGCTCACACACAGAGGACAGGCTGAACTGCTCCTCCCCAACTTTATTGACACCAGTGTGGTTTACAGTGACCTCCATGTCTTCCAGAATATGTGAGCGAGCTGATGAAGCTCCTGTTTGAAGAGGTTTTTAAGGAGCCTTCGACCTACGTGGACGAACTCAAACGGATCCCCGTCCCCGACGACCTGAGGCCCGTCTGAGGACACGGAGCAGGAAGGAGGAAACTGCTCTAACGTATCCACGCCGACTGTTACTGAGGGCCTTCACCACGAGTCCACTGAAGAACATTTAAATACATGTTTGTCTTCACCCTGTTATTTATCTGTAAATAAAGCACTTCTTATTTACCTGGTCTCTGCTCGTCTGTGTGGGAACACGCGGGAAGACGGAGTGGAACAGGAAGTTTGATTTAGCTTTTTTTCTTCTAATCAGGTTTTGGCTGCAAAATGTTTTGGCTACGTTCACGCTGCAGGCGAAAGCATCAAATCCGATTTTTTGACCCTCCCATCATGCTATGACAGCGTGAACGGCACAAATCTGATATCTTCAAATCTGATCTGGGTCACTTTCGTATGTGGTGCTGAATCCGATACATATCCGATGTTTTAGAAAGCTGCTGTTTGATGGTCATGTCGCATTAAATCCGTCTTTTACGTCACTGACACAAGACAGACGCCAATTATCAGCGCCGGAGAAGACATCGCGAACGCTTCCATCCAGTGAAACTGTTGGGAAGACAACGTTGGAGAAACGTGAACATTTTATTTGTTCTGTATAATCTGCAGATTCTGACAGAAATCTGCAACTATCCTTTGAAGCAGCGCTCCTCTAAAACAGCAATAAGGATCATTATTAGGTTATTTACATTATTATGTAAATAACAAAATAACTTAAAGCAAAAATTGGGAAACGTGAAGTCCGAAGTCTGTATATTAAGGCCATCAGTCAAACAATACTGTTGCTCTGGGTCTAAACAGAGCGCGTTGTGTGTGACGTCTTCTTTTGCGCATGCGCCGCTTTGAGCGTTCACACTAGAGCGCGTTTGCTGTCACATTTTATTTGTAGTGTGAACGAGCAGACAAAAAATCGTATTTGATCAAAAAATCGGAATTGAGCATCAAGACCTGCAGAGTGAACGTTTAAAGTATCTGCAGCGACGCTTTCAGTGCGGAAGTCATCCAAACATACCTTTCAAAATAAAATACAATCTTTTTAAAGACTAATAATAGAAATATAATAGCTATTATTGTTATTATTTATATTATAAGAATTAATAATAAAATAATTATTTCATTATAATGTTTTGTTTTGTAAAATATGTAGAACCTTAAACCAAAATTACATTATATTATGATCATAGAATCATTTTATTTTTCTCTGATTTTCGTTCAAGTTTGTTTGTTTTTTTACTTTTTATTAATTTACATGGAAATTGATTCAGTTTTATTTATTTTAATTTAATATATTTGAATTTGATTTCAAAGCGTTTTTCTTCGGATTGTTAAAAACAAGTTTACGGAAGTAGATGGGGTGAATCATCTCGCGTCGTCATCAAAGATTGGGGGTAAAAAAAAAAAAAAAGGAAAACATCCGGAGTGAACCGGATGTAGAAGGATCCCGGTCACGTCGAGCACCGTACGCACGTGTGTCGGTGCTGTTTGAGGACTCAGGTTTGAGTTTTGTGTTTTTTCGGTGAAATGTTGAAACGTTTGAAAGTGTTGGAGAGCCTTTGAGACGTTTTGCAAGTGACGCGTATTTCCGGTCACAGCGAGTTAATCTGTGACCCGATAAAAGCGCCGCGTGTTCGTGCGGGCGGAATGAGTCTAAACTCTACGAGCTTCATGTAATCTGGATCGTAGTCCGAAAAGAGTGCTCAAAAGCGACATACCGTTTAGGTCTCGAGTTATTGTACATGCAGAATTTCAGTCAGAAAACGGCAGATTTAACGTTTCCGCTCATGTCAGGACGTGCCCACCCGTGTAAACGTTTAATTCAAATCTGTATTTTAACAGAAGGCAATCTGGCTGTAAAGTCGGCTGTGATCGAGTTTGTCAGTCAACAACTTAAATATGATTTTCTGACTTTTAAATAAATAATTCCGGAGTTTTTGTGGCTTTGATGTTGAAGAGTTAACTGGTGTAGAAACGTTGTTATTAACGCGCAGCTGCGGAGGAACCACGTTTCCCTGATTATTAACGGGCTCCTCTGCGTTCAAAAGTCCCTTAAAATACTTTAGATTTAAGATTTGTTGTTTAAAAGACGATGTAGCCCTGTGTAAACGTGAGCTTAACTTTCACTTCTTCAGTCACTCTGAAATTCGTGAGGAAAAAAGTTATTATTCAATTGTTTGGTTTTAATAGTTGTTTTTGCACAGCTGCTGTTCAATATGCTAGTTTTGCTAATCACGTGTACCGTAATATTGATCCAACGTGTACATTTCAAACCTGCTGTTTCTGAGTTTGTGTGTTTGTGTGTGAACCTTTTTCATCTTCTGTGTAATTTACATTCCAAACTCCCTTTAAAAACCTGCAGATTTAAGGTTTCCCCCTTTAAGACAAACACGGAGAAAAAGGAGGTGATGATGATTATTTTTTTATTAAAGATTCATCTAACTGTCTGTTTTCCTGCTGTTTAAATAAAGTTTTGTGCAGAGGCCTCAGACTGACATCAGAATTTGGCTGTTTTTGTGTGTCTGTCAGATTCATCATGACGTCGTTAGCTCACCAGCTGAAGAGGCTCGCGCTGCCTCAGAGCGATGCCAACCTGCTGACCCGCAGGGAGGTCGCCTCGCTCCTCTTTGACCCCAAAGAGGCAGCGTCCATGGACAGGAGCACCTTCTACGCCCTCGGTGAGTCCCGCCCTCCTCTTCCTCTTCTCCCGTTCCAGCCCGTTTCCTCCCTGACCTTCATCCTGTCTGTCCTCTTCCTCGTGCAGGATGCACCGGGCTGGAGGAGCTACTGGGAATCGAGCCGGCATTCCTGGAGTTTCAGAGCACCCTGTTCAGTCCCGCCTCGACGACCCTGGAGCGCAGCATCCAATCCAAGGAGGTCAACAAGAAGCTGGACGCCGGCATCGCGCTCTTCCTCACCCGCCTCTGCCCATACTTCCTTCTCAAACCGGCTCACAAGTGCATCGAGTGGCTCGTTCACCGGTGAGCCGCTGAGGCGTCGCAGCTCAGTTATTCTCTCGAGAAAAATACAGAAAATGACACTTTGTGTTTGAACAGTGAATCATTAGATAAATGAAAACCAACCAAACTCCATTCAGAAAACGTCTGATTTAAGCTTTCACTGGAGCAAACAGTCCTTCAGGAAACTTCAAGGCGCTGACGCTTCATTAACACATTTATAGCAAAGCTGACGATTATTTTTCATATTTAATTAAACAGATGTTTAACTAGATGAACCTTAAATGTGCACAGGAGCTTCCTGCACACTCTGTATTTCCTATTTTCCTATTTTTATACTCCCGTGATGATTCCCGTGTTTTCCCGTGTGCAGCTTCCACATCCAGCTGTACAACGCCGACAGCCTGCTCGCCTGCGCGCTGCCGTATCACGACACCAACGTGTTCGTCAGAGTCCTGCAGCTCCTGAAGATCAGCGACGCCACGAGTCGCTGGAACTGGCTGCACGGCCTGCAGGTCGGTGACTCGCCTGAGCGCCGGTGAGGTGCGTCTGCTGATCGGAGTGACGGGAAATCTTTTTGTTTGTCGTTGTTCAGAAACCCGGCGTGCCGTTATCCAGAGGAACTCTCATCGCTCGCTGCTACACGGAGCTGAGCTTCATGGACTTCATCTGCAGCCTGGTGACCCGGTCCATCGAGGTGACCCCCCGACCCCTCCTGTTACCTGTTGGCGAGGCTCTCGGCACACCTGCACGGTTACCTGCATTCACTGCTCTCTTCTCCTCTGCAGGCGTATTCCGGACATTCGGGAAGTTGCTCCCAGCTCAGAGTCATCTTCTCTTTTTACGCCTCCACCATCGTCCCCGCCCTGGACGCCGTGGACAGAGTGTCCAACACCATCATCTCCAAGCTGCTGCCATACGTGCAGACGGTAACGTGCGCCATTGTTCACGTGACCCCGACCCGACGGGTGACGTGAGATTTAACCTCGCACGCTTCGTTGCCTCCTCAGGGTCTGAAGTCGGCGCTTGCGGACTATAAAGCCGCCACCTACATGATCGTGTGCCAGCTGGCGGTGAAGGTGGCGATGGAGGCGAGTCTGGTGGACAGCCTCGCCGTGCACATCAGCAAGTCTCTGATCAAAGAGCCCGTCCTCGCCAAGGAGGGCGTGGGCTGCCTCATCGTGCTGCTGCAGAACCAGAAGGAGGGCGCCGCGGGGCCCAGGTAGGACGGACGCCGCCGGGTTGTGATGTTTCGGACACGCTCTGTCCAGGCGTGACTCTCACCTGTCTGTTCCTTCTCGTGTGCTCAGAGCCGCCGGCCGTCTCTGCTCGATGGCGGCGCTGGTGCCGACGCTGCAGGTCATGGCGGCGGTTCACGATGTCAGCCCTCTGCTCCGCTACCTGCTGCCTCACCTGGTCCAAAGCGTGTTCGTCAGCAGCTCAGGTGAGGCCCGCTGCAGGTGCGTCTAACGCTTCACAGCGTCGCAGAGTTTACCTGAGTTTCTGTGTCACAGGTGAGACGGACACGCTCGCCGTGCTGGCGTCCATCCTGGAATCCGTCCTGCTGACCAGAGACCTGGACCACACCGCCGCCCGGTAAACCTCCTCTCAGCCGATCACGCAGCCAATCACGCGACACGTCGTCTCACTGTTGTTTGTCCCGTAGGTTGCTGCTGGACGAGTACCTGAGTCAGAGCGAGCGCTCGCCTGTAGAGCTGTCGGCCCTCGACCGGCGCCTGCGGCCTCTGGTGCGCCTGTTCGAGTCCAAGTACGTAAATATTTATAGTTCAGGTGTCACAGAAACGTGCTCAGGTACACGAGTCTGCACGCAAACATGGCCGCCGGCCTGTTCTGGGATGCAGAGGGTGGAGCCGCGTTTAAGTTTTCTCCTCCATCAGGTACTGCGCAGCTCTGGACGGCGTCCTCGCAGGTCACGTGACCGACATCGGCAGCACGCAGCAGAAACGGCTCTTCCACCGGTTTCTGTCTCTGTCGCTGAGCAGCGGGAAACATCAGGTGAGCTACAAAACGGCGTCGCTCAGGTGAGCCGTGGCGTCTTCGCCTCTGAGCTCACAGTCTTCGTCGTGTGTCGGCAGATTTTAGGCGACTCGGACTCGTCGCTGCTGCTCAGCCTGAAACACCCTCAGCCGTCCGTCAGAGTCTCGGCCGTCGAGCGCCTGAAGGACGTCATCGCCGCTGGACAGGTAGACTTCCTGTTTA